GGCCTCTGCTCCGGCAGGCGTCCCAGTTGTCCCTCGAGAGCACCGTGGGGCCCTGTGGCGAGCGATCTTAGGGCCGGGGTGGGAGGGGCTCCCCGACAAGGCCTGGAGAACGCCCAGCCCCAACCTGGGACCCCAGGCCCAGGGGCACATTGAACAGAGGAGGATGGGGTTCTCCCCCACAGTGGGGAAGCAGAATGGGGAAACCTGCCCCCCAGGGCCCCTCCTCACCCACTCTTTGCCTCCTATCCCCTGAGACCTTCCCTCTCCCAACGGGATTGGCTGCACTTTTGACTTGGCCGGTTCTTGCCCTGGTGGATGTGGCTGCAATCCGGAGAAAGGAGAGACTGAGGTGGCAGAGCAAACCATCCTCCTGTCCCAGACACTGTCCGACTGCTCCCCCTTTTCGCCTCCTCAGAAGCTCGCTGCCCGGAGCCAAGTCCAGAACCCAGCGGCCATCTCCATGGTGCCAATTACCAGCAAGTGTCTTTCCTGCGGCACCGGGTTCAGGCAGCTACTCCTGCCCCAAAGCCGATGGGGCAGGCTTGCAAGGATCCGGAGCCAGCTCCGGGGGGCCCAGAGCCTCCTGCTTGATGAGGAGCTTGGCCTCCCTCCGCCTGCCGGTGGAAGGAGCTTTGCCGCAGCCTGTCTGAGTCCATCTGTCTGTCCCTTCCTGCCTGCCCCTCTTCCGGTGGCTCTAGGAATTGGGGTCCAGCAGGGACCAAAGGAAAGGAGGCAGTGCCCTGGGCCTGGCACAGACCCCCAAAGTGCCCTGCTCCGTGGGACTGCAACAAGCTCGTTTGAAAATGGTGGACTGGAAAGAACTGGGTCATCTGCGTTTTGGTGAAGGTCTGCGGGACCCTGATTTTTGAGAACCCCAAATCCAGAGAGCTCACTGCCTCTGAATTTTGGAGATGCTGGATTGGAGAGGGAGTCCGAGTAAAGCCGGGATTGGGACTGGTGGTGCCAAGGCAAGGGTTTCTCAAATAGGAGAATCCCTCCTCGTTGGATGAGGTCAAAGGTCTTCTTGTCTACTCCTCTGCCTCCAGGCTAGGGGTTTGGGGAGGCAACAGAGCTTCCCTATTTTAGTCTTTTTAAACAAACCATCCTATACTAAGGGCAGAACCCACTGCCCTGGCCTCAACTACCTTGGCTCATGAGTGTAAGAATTGGGAGATTCCTTCTCAAGCAGGCCTGGGTAGCTGCCTTCCTGGCCCGGCCCTCCCCGAGGCCTACGGAAGCCCTTTTGCATGCTGGGAGGACACAGGCTGGCCCCTCTATAGAAGCACATTTCTGCCACCTCCCCCTGGGAGGCACCCAGCAGCCCACCACCCCTCATTACCCAGTCCCTGCTGTGTAGGGCGTAGTCCAAGTTAGCTGGGTAGACTTAGTGTTCCAGGCCCCAGGGCCTGTTCTTAGCTTGCATATAGTCCTTACAGAGCTCCAGGACAGGGGTGGAGAGGAGACGGCGGTCTCCCTGCTGGTCTGGGTCTGGGCCTGGGCCTGGAGCCTGGGTCGTGGGAGGCCAGCCAGCCATTCTTCCCCTTCCCTCCCCCCACCCCCAGGGTTGTAGCTGGAGCTGCCCCTTCTACTCAGATGTTCTGATGTATTATCCTTGATACAGGTTTTATTTGTGAAGCACTCCTGAGGGTTGTGGGCCTCGGTGGAAGGGTCTGGGCTCCGTTGGACGGACCAGGTCGTCTTCCACCCGGAGGCCCAGCTGTGTTCAGTCCCACCTTCTCCTTGGCCTCACTCTAGGCTGTGGACCAGGCGATTTCTTCCACCCGGAACCTCTTCCCTCCCCTCCCCGCCCTCCCCTCCTCTCTCTGCCCGTTTAAGCCCTGGGGAGCCTTTAACGTTCTGGAAGAGTTATCTTGCCTCCATGGAGCTTCCCATGCTGCACTGGGAAGGGGAGACGGAGATGCCCCTTTCTTTTCTGGATGAGCTCTCCGGAGCTTCCTGGGATTGTGCTGGGTGGAATCCCAAGGCTGGGGCAAGAGGCCTCCAGGGCCCTGGAGGGCTTCCCATCTGAGGCCCGGAATCAGCCCCTCCCCTGTTTTTTTTTTTTTTAACCAGTGTGATTTCTCCGCTGTTCGTTTATTACTCACCATTTGGAATATTTTGAGCCAGGAGAGCGCCTTCTCTCTCCAGCCGTCACTGCTCGGGTTGTTCAGGGGTAGTTTTTCAAAGACGGGGCAGAGCCTGGCTGTCCCACATAGAGGGCGAGGGGGCTCGGTGCCGCCCCACCCCCCACCCGGCCAGAGCCTACCCTCCGGGGTCTGCACAGCCTTTATAAAGAGAGAACGCGCTCCAAAGCAATAACAACATCTGGGGGTGGTCACCGAGGGCCCCCCTCACTGACTTTCTTGTTTGTTCTGTGAAATCTCAGTTCACCTTCGGGTGGGGTGGGGTGGGGCTGGAGCCCTGTTTCTTTGTCTAATTGTTGTGAGCACGTGCCCTGCTTCCAAGGGGCTCTGACCATTTGGTGCGGGAACCACTGTCTGTCCTCACCAAGAGATGGGGTTTTGGGGGAGGGGGTGACGGTTCTCAGTGTTAGCTTGTCCCCACTGCTGCCTGACCCTTGGCGCACTCACACTCCACCTGGAGAGGAGCAGAGACGGGGCCCCTTAGAAGTTTGGGAGCCGCATGCTAGGGGCTGATTCTTTTCTCAATCACTGGGCCAAAAGTCACACGCAGGGGTACTGTGGGAGGATGTCTCCATTTCCCTTTGCCAGAATCTGCTTTTCATACAGATGGGAAAGGGCCTTTGGGACCATTAGTGAAGTCCATTTTACAGAGGAGGACTGAGGCCAGGCGAGGCCTGCCTCTGGGATCACCTGGGAATTCAATGACACCCCCTAGCCTGGGTCTCCTCCAACCCCAGGCTGAGCTGGAGCCAGAGTGGGACCAAGTGAGGCCGCCATTTCACACAACACTTCCTCCTCCCTTCTCTCTGTAGAACCTCTCAGTGGCCCAGAAAAGATGGGCACCCTGTAGCCCCTCTGAGAGGTGAGGCAATTAAAGCCTGGAATCAGGAAGTGACTTGCCCAAGACCCCTCAACAAATGATCCATGGGGACAGAACAGGGGCTCTGTCCTGCTTCGCTCCTTCCTGGGACCTGAAGCCACTGACCAGGCAGGTCTGCCATGATAAGTATTTGTGGTCTTTAAGTCCTGGGCCACCCAGCCCTGCCTGGTTCCATCTCCGAGGACCCGGGTTTGGGGGAGAGAGTTGCCATAGAGACTTAGCTCTCCTGGGGTCTGGTCCAGCTGACTTCGGGTACACGGATCTGGTCTAAGCCTCGGAGTCTGTCTGGGCAGAGGCTCCCGCTGCAGGAGGGGCCATAGCCCCATAGGACCAACCTGAGGGATGTGAGAAGCACCACTTCCTGCGTGGGGCTGGGTGCGAGCGAGGGGGCCGTGGTACACCGCATGTGAAGCCTCCCGACGCCTTCAGATGTAACGATATCTGACCTTCCTGTTGTGCTTCTCAGACTTTTGCTTTCAAAGTGCTTTGACGTCAAGCACACACTCCCAAGAGCCCCTGGGCAGTAGAGGGGGCCAGTATTATCAGCCCACGTTAGCGACGAGGGAGCTGAGGCCCGGGGAGGGAAGGCATCGGCTAAGGTCCTACTGTGGGGCCATGGCTGTGCCGGGACTAGAACTCAGTTCTCCAGCACTGGAGAGCTGTAGGAGGTGAGGCAGATCGTGTAGGGGGTGGTTACACACTTTACAAGCTGATTCACCATCCAGTTCCTTAAACCAGGAGCTCCTGGGCACCATTCAGTGTCGAGAGGCGGCGCTGAGCACCCCCCCCCCCCCCCCCCACCCCCCGCTTGGAGCACAGCTGTTGCGTCAGGCAAGGCCACCTGCATTTATTTATTGAGCAGCAGCGCCGTGCCGGGCCCAGGGGACTGAGCCCCCTCCCGCTCCCCAGTAATGATCCCCTTGGCTCTTCGGGAGGGCCCCCTGTCTGTATAGCAGCACTTCAGAGTGGACGGAAAGCCGCCACATCTGACTCACACGCCCTGTCGGGGAGGTGGACTGTGCCCATCGCACTCCCAGCGATGAGGAGTGGCACTTTGTGAGGGCAAAGTGGAGACTTGAACCTGGGGCCTCAGGCAGCACATCTTGAATCCTTTCACTCCACGGCTGCCTCCTAAGAGGGTGGCAGGGAGGCCGGACCCCGGGTCCTCAGGCTGGGGGCCTTTCCATCCGCCCGCTTTTCCCTCACTCCCTCTCCGGGAGCAGGAGCTGCTCGGGATTTTGGGGAGGGAGGATTTCCGGGGCCCCTGGGTGGGTGTGGGTCACGTTGCATTGTGTTCATGACCATGTAGCTCATGTTGAAAATTAAAGTTTTTGGCTTTTCTAACCCGGCTCGCTCTGCTTTGTGTTGAGAGTTCTGTCTGGGAAGCCAGGGGTAGTTGGTGTGTGAAGGAGCGGATGCTGTGGGATGCCAGCACGCCCCACCGTGGGCGCGGAACCTTCTAGAGATGCATGGCGGCTGGGGCTGGGGGGTGGCGGATTCCAGTCCTGTTACAGAGCTGGAAACTGAAACCCAGGTAGGAGATGACATTCCCCAAGGTCACATGATGGGTAGGTCCCAGACGACGGCTCTTCCCACAGCAGGATGCTGCGTCCAGGTGCCCCAGGGGTGCGGGGGCTGCCAGCAAGGCCCCCCTCACCCTGAGGTGGCATGGCCAAGGATGAAGAGCAGCAGATGAGGAGGGGAGGGTGTGCTGCATTCACACATGGGCCAATTCCACCCTACACCAAACTGCCAGAGAATGAACAATCATTTAAGTAGTAGGGATTTGCCCACTCCTCCCCACTGCCCAGATGTTTCCCTGCCGTCCATCGGATCCCCGTGCTGCTGGTGCTGTAAGCGGCTGGCCTCACTGTTGATTCCAGTGCTGAAGGTCGCCCATCTCCCCCGAAACACAGAAAACCTGCCCACCTGTTCCCACTCCAGAGGGCGGGCTGGTGGAGAGCCTGGGTGGGGGGGCTGATGTGGCCACGCCTTCCTGAAACAATTTGAACCACAAGGGATTTGGGTCTACAGGGCAGCTGAAGCGTGGCCCTCGTGCTTATGGTGCTGCTTTAGGGGCTGGCCACAAAAGGGAAGGACAGACTGCCCGTGGCTGAAGACGGCCTGGGGGCCATAGTCCTTCACCCCTCTCCGAGCTCTGGGGAGGGTGCACTGACAGGTGACCCCCGGCCCCGGGTCAGAGCTGGGCTGTCAGATGGACTTCCGCCGGGCCGGGAGCCTGCCCGCCCCGCCGCTGCCCACAGCCCCAGGACTGGAGGGGGGCGAGAAGCCCAGGTTGTCGCGGGCCCCGATCTGCAGCTGGTGCACGCGCGAGGACACGGAGGTGGAGCCCCGGGCGCGGGTGGGGCGGCGAGGCGGGGAGCGGCCGCGGCTCTCGGGCGCCCCCAGGCGGAGCGGGCTGGAGCGGCGGGCGGCGCGCTCGGGAGCGTCGGTGCTGGCCGCCAGGAAGCGCAGGACCACGAGGTTGAGGAAGGCGCCGATGACCGTGAGCCCCAGGAGGATATAAAGGAAGCTGAAGGCCACGTAGGGCGGCTTCCTCTGCAGCGCCTCGTCGCTCTGCAGCGCCACGAAGTCGCCGAAGCCGATGGTGGTGAGGGTGATGAAGCAGTAGTAGTAAGCGTGGAAGAAGGTCCAGCCCTCGAAGTGCGCGAAGGCGGCGGCCCCGAGGGCCAGGGTGGTGGCGCATACCAGCAGCCCGGCCACTACCATGTTCTCGGTGGACACGCGTGGCCGCGGCAGCCCCAGGCAGCGCTTGGCCGCCAGCAGGAGGCGCCGCACCAGCGCATTCAGTCGCTCGCCCAGGCTCTGGAAGGTGACCAGCGTCAGGGGGATGCCCAGGAGCGCATAGAACATGCAGAAGACCTTGCCCGAGTCTGTGCCTGGCGCGGCGTGGCCATACCCTGGAGGGAGAGCAGAGGGTGGGGGTGGGGTGAGCGCCGGCTACGGCCGCCCTGCCCGGGCTCCCTCCTCAGCCCTGGAGCCCGTGTAGCATCTTGAAGTACGGCTTCTAACTAGGCCATCCCCGCCTTTGAACCCTTGCGTGGCTATCCCTAATCGCCCCAAACGGTAAACAACCCACCGACCCTCAGCCGGGGAAGGGCAAACGGCCTGCGGTCCATCCACACAGCGAGGTTCTGTTCAGAACAGAGGCATGAGCTAGGGTTACCTGCTGCCGCAAAGGATGGCTCTCAGTTGCATTAGGCAGAGTGAAGGAGGCCAAGCTCAAAAGACAACATACTGCATGGTTGCCCTGAAATGACATTCTGCAAATATTCTGGCACAACTATGGGGACAGAGAGCAGATCTGTAGTTGCCAGTCCTGGTGGCTGGAGGAAGGGTAACCGGAAAGAGGCAAGACAAATTTGGGGGTGATGGAAGCCTACCATGTCTTGGTGGTGGCTGCAGTTGCCTGACAGGCCTTCATTTGTCAAAAGTCGTAGAAGGCTGCTACACTGGAAGATGGTGCATTTCATTGTGTAAGCTACACCTTGATTTAAAAATAAAGCAAAATCTTCCACGGTGCCCCAGTACCCACAGGAGAAAGTATCCACCCGTTCTCTCGCGGTGTCCGAGCTCTTCAGTGATCCAACTCCCCTCCCACCTGTCCAGCCTCACCCCGTGTTGCTTCCCCAACCCACATGTCCCACCTCCTCATGCCTCTTCTCATGGTTTTTCCTCCCCTGGACTGCCCTCCACCCTGCCCCCCTTCTCCTTCCCACATCCTGCTCCAAGCCAGCCCTTGCTAAGCCCTTCTTCAGTCTGGTGTAGCACATGTTCTCTGTCGTAGGGGGACCTATGCGCCACTGGGCATCCTTGAATCCTGGACCACTGTGCCATCGCCGGGGAATGAGCATTCCTAGAGAGAGGAGCGAAAACTTTCTTGGTATTCTCAAAGGGGCCCACAACCCAGGAAAAGTCAGGTGGACCTTCCCCCCAAAGAACACCCCTCCTCTAGCAGATGGACACCACCTGCCAAAATGGAAATACGCAAATACACAAACCCTGGAACCATGCTGTGCCAAAGGGAGCAAGTCAGTCCCTCCCACACACGCGGGCAAAGTGAGGGAGGCACGTGGGTCATCACCGAAGCATCGCTGCTCGTGGTGAAAACTGGACAAGCTAAGTGCCCATGGAAAGGGGGATGCACAGCAGTGGCTCCAACCGAGGGTATTGTCCCTGACGGGGACATCTGCCTCTGTCTAGAGACACCTCTTATCACAAGTGGGAGGCAGTGGCTATGTGCTACCGGCATCTACGGGGTGGAGGTCATCGATGCTGCTAACCATCCCACAGTGCACGGGACCGCCCCTCGACGGGGTTATCCAGTCCAGCAGGTGGATAATGCCAAGGTCAAGATACGGCTTTCAAGCAACCCAATGCAGGGTCAAGAGACTCGCGACCCTAAGATCAAAACCTGAGCTGAGATCAAGAGTTCGACACTTAACTGACTGAGCCACCCAGGCGCCCCACGGTGGCACAGCTTTTTAGGGATTTTTTTTTTTAATCACAAAAAAATATGCGGTGAAAAAAGGCAAGAGGCCGAACAGCGTGTACAGCCTAAGATCCCTGCCGGCTCTCTGCAAGGAGGGCTTACGCAGCCCCGAACACACGGCGCAAGCTGGCGCCCCCAGGTGGCCAGAAAAGGCAAAACTCTGGTTATTTCCATTCTGTAGGTCTCTTTCCCAGGCTCCCAGATGCCAGCCAGGAACCGGCGGCAGAGAAGACCAAACCGAGCTCCAGAGGTCTCCAGATAGCGTGAGGGTGGGCAGAAGGGGTGGATGGGGTCCCTCCCACTGGGCACGGCAACAGAGAGTCTTGGGCTGAGCCCAGGTAGGGAAGCAGGGGTGCCCGTGTTGACAGGAGAGGCCATAAAGGGCTGAATGGGAGCTGGGCCCACAGCTGGCAAACAATGAATTGTTATTACTAATTAATAGTGCCTATTTAGCCTCAGGCACCACACCAGGCATTTTACACACTTGACCTCATTTAAACCTGGCAACCACCCAGTAAGGTAGCAAGAACTGCATTTGCAGTCGAGAAAACTAGGGCTCAGAGAGGTACATCCAATTGCCAGAGAAATAGGAGGCAACAGAGATGAGAACAGAACTCTGGGCTAGGTGACTGTAGAACTCAGGCTTTTAACCCACAGCTCACATCCACTTGCAAGGACACTATGAAAAAACTTTCTCCAGTCCTTGGACTTCCAGAGTGGTGATCCAAACTCTGGCGTTGTGTGTGGGGGGCATGCCTAGATATCCACACCTGGAACCTGGGCCGGCCTGACACCGGGCCTGGAGCCCTGCAGAGCCTGCTTCTCTCCTCTCCTGTTTCCCCAGGCTTCTGCTCAGCAGGTACCAGCCAGACGGTAGCCATGGCAACGGCTGAAGGTCCAGATGCTGCAGAGAAACTGCTCTGGATCCCCGAGGGTGAGGTCCAAAGCTTGTGGTAATCAGTCATTCCTTCAACAAATATTTATTGAGTGTCTACTATGCGCTCGGCTGGGTACACTGCAGTGACTAAGACAGACTAGATCCCGTTCTCGTGGAGTAACAGAATAATTATAATACAAAAATCAATCTCTATTTTTTAGTGCTTTGTGTGTGTCAGACCCTGCGCTAAAACTTTCCGCATGCATTATCTCCTTGGCAATAATTATCTCAGTCCAGCCCCAAGAGAAGGGAGGCCTATTAGCAGCCCTACTTTTTACAGAGGGGGAAACTGAGGCGCAGAGAGGTTAAGCAACTTGTCTGAGGTCACACAGCTAGGGTGATGCAGCCGGGCAAGGAAGCCTCCATCTCCAGCCACTCGCGCGCTCCGGCCCGCTCCATCTGTCTCCCAGCCCCCGGAGGTTTCCTGAGCTGTCCCGCGTGCCACCTCTGGGCGAACTTGAGCTCCTGACTCCTCCCAGCCCCGCCCGCGTGGGACGCCGGCCCCCTTCGGCGGAGGGCAGCTGAAATGACAAGTCCAAAGCCACCCAGGCGGGCAGGGGCTCGAGGAGGGGTTCGAGCCCCGGGAGCGGGGTGGGGACGTGGGCGCGCCGCAGGGCCGCTCACCGATGGTGGTGATGACGGTGATGGCGAAGTAGAAGGAGCCGGCGAACTTCCACTGGCGGCCGGCGCGGTGCGGCTCGGCCTGCAGCGCCAGGCGCTCCAGCTCGCGGTAGTCCTCGGCCGAGAAGCCGTACTTCCTGCGGAACTCGCCGCGCTTCTGGGCCAGCAGGCGCTGGCGGCCGCGCTCCGCCTCGGACTCGAGCGCGTCGAAGACGGCGGCGCCCACCAGCAGGTAGGACAGGATGCACAGGATGAGCGCGGCCGTGCGCACGCTCTGCTTCCTCATGGCGGCGCCGCGGGCCCCGCGCCCCGGGCCGGTCCATGCGCCCCGACGGCCGCTCCGCACTCCGCCCTCCCGCCCGCGCGGCGGGAGCGTGCTGCGGGCCGCCGGACGCGCGGGCGGGGGGGCGGGGAGGGGACGGAGGCGGGGCCTCGAGGGGGGCGCGGAGGACCGAGAGGGCTCCTCCCGTCGCCCCGCCCCCTCGCGACACCTGCCTTTGTTTATCCGCCGGAGCTCTGGGCGCAGGTGTCTAAGCAGCGACCGCTGGAGCAGAGCGTCCAAAGCCCGGTTCTGCAGATGTCCGGTCTCCACCGCTATGGGCCTGTCACTTTGGGCCAGTCAGCCAGCAAAACTTTACTGAGCACCTACTAGGACAAACAAGCGTCCTGGGCTACACGGAGCCCATATCCTAGAAAGGAGGTTTGGCTAACAGACCCACAAAGATCATTGAAGACAAGCGTGAGACAGAAGGGAGTTAGTCTCTGGGGGAGGTGGGCGTCGCCCCACTGAGGTGGTGGGAAAGGCCTCCAAGGAGTGACTGGGGTGGGAGCGTCCAGGCAGCAAGTGTGAATCCTTTAAGCAGAGAACCTGCGTGAGCTGGAACCGGGGAAACGGGGTGCTGGGGGGTGGAGGAGCAGGGAATAGGAGGACAGAGAGGGGACCTCACACAGGGTCTTACAGGCCGTTAGCCCGGAAAAGCTATAAGCAGGAAAACAAACACACACCAGTGATCTGATTGACATTTTTTCAAAAAGAGTGTCCTGGCGGTCCGTGGTAAAGGGGTGTTGGCTAAGAGTGAGGCCGCTTAGGAAACTCTGTAGTCCAGGAGCGTGGTGGGGCCCGGGGGTGGGGGGAGGTCGTCAACCAGGGACACGGCCTCGGAGGTGCAGAGAAGCTCATGGATGGGAGATAGGGTGGGGACCTGGGGCTGGGCGCACACAGCTAGCCATATTTCCCAGCCTCCTTTCCACTTACAACTGTCACCAGTGGCCTGTGGGCAGAAGTGACCTGTGTCAATTCCCAGGCCTGGCCCATAAGCCCCCTCCCATGCTGTCCTCCACCTGTCCGCCCTGACCTGTGGGCTGAATGCAGAAAGGTAAAGTCTTTAGCAGAAGGCACAGACACAGGGTGGAAGGAGCCCGGGCACCCGGGTGACCCCGCAAGGCCGCCCCCACGCCAGGAGCACCGATTCTGAACTTCTGTTGTGTTGAGCCCCTGAGCTATGTGCTCAGTCTGTTACCCCAGCTGGTGTTACCCTGATGCGTGAAGCAGCAGCACGTGCTGGTGGGCTGGATGTAGGGGGCAAAAGGGGACTCCAGATGACGCTGGGTCTTTGGCCTGAACAGCTGGGTGCTTAGACTGCCTTCCGTTGACCTCACTCCCCAAGGAATGAGGTCATTGCTGCCGCCCAGCACCAGAGTCCAGGGTAGGTCTTTGTGGACACTCTGGGCAAGCACCTGGCAGCCTCTCCTGCAGGTGTCCAGAGCATCTGTGTGGCCTGGTCTCTGTGGCAGCCTTGGCACCCATCCCCCATCCCCGCATCTCTCCTCCCGCCTCTCTCCCTGCAGCCCCTTTGTGATTTTTTTTTTTCTTCAGACACACTGAACTATCAGCTCCTTGCACAAACTCTTGCTTTGCTTAGAACAGTCCCCTTCCCATCACACTCAATAGCCCACATTTCTTGAATGACTGCCAGGAGCCAAATGCCCGGTGAAGCTCTTTGCAGGTATCATTGCATTTTGTCACGACAGCCTCCTTACGCTGTAGGCATGGCTGGCGGATGCCCCGTTCCTCCTTCAGCTCCCAGTTTACTGGACGTGGCCGTCCCTGGCTACCCCACAGGTGGCCTTCTTTGGTGCTGGTCTTTGGCCAGCCCTCCTACCCTCTTGCCTTCGTCCCCTGGCACTGTGATTCTCCCATTCCATATCTGTGTTCTTCTGGAGGATAGGGATCCTACCTTGGTCATCTTTCTGTCCCCGGCACCCGGGTCCGGCACAGCACACCTCCCGTGATTGTGGACAGATGAGCAGCAGCGGCCCGTAGGAGTTCAGGGCATGGACTCTGCAGCATGACTGCCTGGGTTCAGATCTCAGTCTGCTGCAGGGTTAGAAAAGTTCCTATCTCATAAGGTGCTGTGCCCCGCCCCTCTGCAGAGATGCCCATGTTCTTTCCCTGGAAACTATAAATAGGGTAAGATACACAGCAGAGTGGAGGGAGGGTTGCGGGTGGAATGAAAGTTACTAATCCGCTGACCTGGAGGTGGGAGGTTATCCTGGACTATCAAAGTGGGCCCGGTGTCATCATAAGGGTCCTTATACGTAGACACGGCAGGCAGAAGAGGGACAACCAAGGAGGTTCGAGAAGCCGTTGGCCCGATGTTGCTGGCTTGGGAGATGGACCAAGGGGCCACAAGCCAAGGAGAACAGGTGACCTCTAGAATCTGGAAAAGGCAAGGAAATGCCTCCCTAGAGCCTCCAGAAGGGAATGGAGTCCTGCGAGTCCCTCAGTTTTAGGCCAGTGTGACCTGTGTAGCCCTCCCGTCCTATAGAAGGGGGAGATGGCACATGGGTGGTGTTCAAGCCACTACGCTGGTGATCATTTCTTTGAGCGGCAGCGGGAAATGACGTCAGAGATTGTCAGGACGGAGGAGCCCATAGGCAAGAAGCACTAAGGGCAGCCTCTAGCCCTGAGGACTCATCTGGAAGCGTTAGCCACTGTTTCAAACATCACAAGTGAGCAAAGCCCCCAGGCCCCCAGAGACATTATAGCATGTGTTCTGACTCAGTTCTGGGGCCAAATCAGGGGACTTGCACCTCTACCCCTCTGGGAAGCCGGACTGCTGCTCCGCAGCCCAGAAGCCATATTTGCAATAGTGTCTTCAGCAAGTTTGTTTTTCCTGATTCCTGCCCAGCTTTCAGAGGAGCCGGAGCCTGGGTCACAGTCTCGATGGCTGGGGGTTGGAACATCATGGATTTACTGCCTGAGAAAGGGCTGGGAAGAGCTTTCTGGGGACAGTTAATGAATCCTGGTCACTGACACTGGGCTCACAGTCCAGCTCCTCCACTTTCTAGGTGCGTGAGTGTTGCAAGAACACTCCTCTGGCCTTGGTTTTCCCATCCGAGACACGCTGCTGGTAATGATGTCCACCTCGTGGGGACCATGCCGAGAACATAAAGGATCTTGTGTGTCGCTTCCCAGGAGCCCGGTAGCAGTAGCTGCGTTTCCTCCCTTTGTACAACTCACTGTGTGCCTGCAGATGTCAGGAATTCTTTTTCTGGAAGCGCGTGTCTGTGCTAGGCATATTCACAGACCTTCCTGACAGAACCCTCACTTTCCAGTGCGGGAAACCAAGGCACAGAGGGGAAGACACCCCACTTGCCAGGTCCTGATTGCCGGGTAGCAGCTGAATGAGGGCCATGTCGTCCCCAAGTTCACAATCCTTCCAGGGCACCATGCCACTTCGTCAGGCATCATGCCGCCAGCTCTATCCCCCTCCCGTTGCCTCTCTGGCCTCCACCTTCCCCATCTCTAAGCTGGAGTGGAGGACCCCCGCTGGCTGCCCCCAGCACCGTGAGGGCCCCTGTGACACACAGCTGAGCCCGCGGTGGGGAGGGGGTATTATTGGGGCCATGGAGGAACTGTCTGGCCCTGCCAGGCAGGTGACTCGGCCGTGTGCTTGGCATCTTGGGTTCAGCAGCTCTATTTTAAGCCAGAAGAGGTTAGAGTTTGTGGGTGTGTATTTCTCTGCTTGCAAAACTGTCAGCTGCCATCACCAAAAACAGCAACACTCCAAGGCACCCCCTTGGGCTGCCCCTCCCTCTGCCTCCACCACTCCTTCCTCCCTCGGGAACCTGAGGGGACCCAGTGATTTTCCTCTGTCCCTTTATGCCAGAGTCACACGCGGGGCCCCTCAGCGAGGACTTGGGTCCTCTTCCAGGACCCCAGGGTCACCGGCTTGGAGGATAAGGAGGAAGGTGATCCCAGTCCCCCACTAGACCCTGGGTGCCTTTCAAAGCATTCTGCATCCCTGTGAGTCTAGAGCCTTCTGAAAGCTTTGTGAGTCCTGCAGGCCATGCCGTTCCCATGTCAGAGAGAAGACACAGACTCAGAGAGTGTGTGTCACGTAGGGTGACACAGCGCAGGGCAGAAGAACGGGAGTTTCTGAGGGAGGCAGACCTCAGTTCCCTCTTGGACCAGCGACTTCACCTTCAAGCCTCAGTTTCCTCATCTGTGGCATGGGCGTAAAGATATCGGCCTCTCAGTATTTCTGGGAGGATTAAATGAAAATGTGAAGGAGCGCTCCACACAGAATGGGTGCCCAGGAAGTGTTACCCCTTCTATCCAATTAATTTTTTCCTTCCCCTTTCCACACTGCTTATTCCCCAGGCCTCCTGGGATCTTAAAGGATTGATTTTTATAGTTAGAATATAGTTCAGTAATTTTCCACAAGCCCAGAGGGCCCAGGTGTTTTTCCTGATAAGATCTCTCTCTTGTCTCTGTCCTAAAAGAACGGATTATTTTGGCCTCAGGTGTCAGCTCCTTCGAGAAGGCAGCTGTAACCTTTCTGAAGCCTGAGTATCACTTAGGGATCTGGGCGGCAAGAAATTAAAAGCTGCCTCTTGCCAGTTTAAAGAACATTACAGGCAAGATCTGGGGTTCTTTCTTGCAGAATCTTCCAGGCACTGGCACACAAACCGTATGGTCTGAGGGACCCAGAGAGCTGGAACCTACATCAGGGAATCACATAGCCATACCCAGTGTCGGGGCGGAGGGCCGGGGGCACCATGGTTCCCAGCCTGATGCAGACACCATTCGGGGGACAAGTCCAGTGTCAACTATCTGAGCATGACCCTGTCTCTGACTGTTGGGACCTGCCAGAGCTGCTCAAAGGATTCCCAGCGTGAGTCTGTGGCCATTTGGTTGGAGCCTTCAGGAGTTCTCCACTTTCCTGAGGTTGGGTATCTTTGGGTTAATGGAGAGATTAAAACCTTTACTCTAGTTAATAATTTTAAAAATGAGGGGCACCTGGGTGGCTCATTTGGTTAAGCGGCTGCCTTCGGCTTGGGTCATGATCCCTGCGTCCTGGGAT